AATTTGAATTCAGATCCACCATAATTTAGATGAGAATGCAAAAATAGTTTTGGATATATCAATTTACACCCAATTTTTCACTATGATAGGAGATGCTCTTTAAGTTTTGTACATTTTCATTGGAGTGTGGGCAACCGATTACATGAGTTCTAATTTATCATTTATATTTTCTTTTGACTCTAGTGAGTGCACTTACGATCGATATTTCACTAAAAAATATCAATAATTTTAAAACTATTAGTTAGTTAATATTATATTTGGTACGTCAGATTGAATATAATTGGACAATAATTGGTTATTACAAATTTACAATGCTAAATTTTGGACCGAAAATTTACATGTGGAAGCAAAAAATGGAAGAATTTGGGCCCATGTATTTTCAAAATGTTCTCTATCATGATGTCATTGTTTGACCATTTGTAGCAACACTTTTATTAGCACCTTTGGATGCATACATATTTGCTTGTCTATTTCTACATTAAATTTTAGATATGAAATTAGAATAGTACTTTTAGTTATGCTGGCCTTTGGTGTTAACAAAAAGGCAACCGTCAATGCCAATTGCTACTTCTAACAACAACTAGTGTTCGCACGTGCGATGCACCTGCTGCAGTTTAATTGAGTATCTAATAGCGTGGAATGATCTTAAAGTATTTTTTCACTATAATTGTATGAATTGATTCTTTTGTCAGTTAATCTCTCTTACAATGAAATGTTATAATGTATATATGTTATGATATTAGAAAAATGATTGCAAATTGATGCAACTCATTCTCCGAAAAAGGCACTCAATACTACTTGTGTATATTAATACTATCTACCTCTTGATCATCGCGGGATGATATGCTTATTTACCAGAAACTATATTTTAAAGAGTTGAATTCTTCTTTCAACAACAGTAAAAGCATGGAAGAAATCTTTCATAGAAGTCACAAAATTAAGTAGAATTTTTCTTACTATAAATTTGTCCGTTTACAGAAGGCTATAAGGCCAAAAGTAGAGCATGTAGTTGAATTTTGATTTATATTACCAAAGGATGAAGAGGATAATCACATGGGTTACCATAAGTTTGTTGTAAAAAATATTATCTAATTCAACCAAGACACAGCAAAAGATGCACAGGTTGTTTATTCATCAATAACCGTGTTGAAATCAGTACATTTAGTGTGATATGGTGACAATTTTGACTATAACACTATCGTACTTAAGCGCTGAAAGTTACCTTAAGATTATTCTCTGACAAAATAGCAGTGTCACTTGGAGGGTAGTTATTGGCATTGCTGCATATATTAACAATTCTCTTTCAATATCAAAAGAAAGCAAGTAGTTAAAAAAGACAAGTCCAATAAAAAAATAACATAAAAATAAATAATTGAACTTCAAATATTATCTGAATCCTATCTGATCTTTGTTAGCAAAAAGTTTCACAGTTTTAAGATCTGGAAAATAACCAGCACTTGGATTTAAATACATCAATCCCAGATTGATACATAGGTTCCATCTGTGTTGCTTCTGTCATCTTCATGCTAACCAAGAAATTCAAAAGGTTTACTACCAAAATCCACTGTAGTAAATACTATGAAACAATGCACAAAACCCACAAAAATAAAAGCACAAAGAAAACGCCTTTCAAACTTATAGGGATCTTCTATCATATAAAACTCTTTCATCTATCCATTTCTAAGTCTATGCATTTCATCCTCTTTAATTTTTCCTTATAAATTGAATTCTTATAGTATAAATAATATACCTATCTATAGTGGACTTCATTGAATACCCAATATCCTCACTATGTCTTTCCATAAATAATTTGTCAAAATATTTCCTTGATCTTCTCTAAGATCTCATTGCTAAGGAATAAAACTCTTTAGATTTCATCTTTAATAAACTTAAATACTCTGTGTGTGCTAGTTTTCATCTTTGTAGTGAAGGTCATCTCCAGGTGACTAATACCTTACTTACATAAGCATTCAAAGGTGGTGTGCAAAAATATTTTATCATGAATGACAATACTTACATATTGGTATGTATTAAACCATAGAAAAATTAAATTTATTTCTATGCGAAATTCCATTGGAATCAAGTCAGTAACTTCAATATAATATATGTTGGGACAGTATAAGAGGTTAATATAGACTGAACACCAAATTGTGATATTATAACAAAATGGACACGCATTAGCATTTACCTCATCAATAGTTTGGCTTTTACGGCTTCGATGCAGAAACATGTTTGACTTGATAAGCTTCCAAAAAGACTGTTGAGGAGCTGCAAAAATATAAAGATAACTAAAAGTTCTAGCATTGGAAGAAGTACATCACTTTTTAACGAATTTAAAATACAAGGATGGAGCAACGTTATTGTTGCGACATTATTGTGAAGATCAAATACCTGTTGACTGATTTGGATTCAAGAAGACGCCAGGTGAATCATCTTCACAAGAACCATCAGATATTTCCAGCTCTTCGTTGATCTCCACATTTGATTTCTCGTGCGGAATTAAGCAGTAAGAAAAGTCTTTATCCTCGTTATCCTTGCAAGGCCTTCAGTACGAATAAAATATAAGAACAAAAAGACCATTCCAACCGCAGAGCACAAGAAAAAATCTCACATCTTAGAAATAATAATTGTAGCCAGTACACCCCACCAAGGCTCAACATTCAGGACTTCTCTTCACAATTAATACATAAGTACTGCAGTACTTTCATGGTCTGAACTCAATAGAGATATACCGCTTTCATCATTTCACTTAAAACCGAATGTTTAAGTTTGTGCTCAAGTCTTCCCTCATAATTAACCATCAAATAAGGGAAATATGCAACTTGGTGTTACCTAAAAGACCTTGGAGTTGAGAAAATCCATGGGCACAGCCAAAAGTTCCGAGATGGGATATGAAATAATAATTTAAGTATCAATGCTAGATGAGTATATGATTTTAAAAGTTCTGTTGTATGAATCGTTCCAACAATAATTTGCTTGCATATTCCATCATTCCTTCTTGAAAACCTACCAGGAGGAGGTTCAGTAATTCATCTAAATATTCATGATGTATTTTATATGAGGCTGAGTGTATGATTTTAGAAGTTCTAGGCATGAAATGTTCCAATAATGTTTCGATTGCATCTTTGATAATTCACACTTCTTGAAAACCTACCAGAAGGAGGTCAAATACTTCATCTAAATCCTGATGATTTATTTTAAATCTGGTAATGGATCTTATATATAAAAGCATTTGTCTCTAAGAGATTTTACTAACAATCAACACGTAGATACTTAACCAGTCCCAAATAATTTCTGAAGGAAAAAATTATTTGGAACAATTTTGAAAGCATTTTTTGATCTCAAAGACAGAGTCACTGACTATTTCACACTTCTCCCACACTTCCAAACCCAAAATCTTGGGAAGTAAATATCTTTAAGAAATGGGACAACCAATATTAAGAGAAAATGCTCACCACAAATAATATTACATAATTGAATTCACCAAAGACGACGAATTCACCAATTATGAGTCATGACCATATGTATACCTAACTCGCAACGGAATACCAACCATCTTGAGTCTTCTTAGATATTAAATGGTCGCATATTATTATCCACACAACACTACACATATAATTGTCAAAAATGGTAGCGATACCTTAAATACAGAATAAAAGAAAAATTTACAAGATGAGTCAGCCAACTGGACCGAAAAGATAAGATACGCCTTATGCCTCAGTACTCGATTGAGGCTTTTTATATGTTAGCTATGAAAGGTAATTATAAACTATCCGTTAACTAATTATAAAGAGGTTTCCTGACTAAGCTGTTGACATGAGGGTACAACAGTAAGCTGCCTATACCACATTAATATTCATTGCATAATTGAACAGCTTAATGCAATAAACAAGATTGCTTACCATTTGTACTTTGGATCTCCAATTTGGTCAGCAAGCAGAAACAAACAACAAATTACCTTGACCACAATATCAGATTTCACTTCAGAAAGAGAATCCCTCAAGTTTTGAGCTTGAGCCGATCCCTACACAAATGCAAGAGTTTATATCATCTTGACTGAAATCAATAGAACATCATGAAGAGAGTGGTTTGACTTCTGCACGAACACAAATTCAAAATAATAATAAAAAAAAAAGCTCAAAAAAGGGAAGATGTCCACATTTCAATGCATCAATTATTTGGAGACAGGACGCCAAGTGTGCTAGACTGCAGTTATGACAGGATTGACTTAACATAACTCCACCAATGTTCCATTGAAGAATATCATTTCCCAAGGCTTTTTGGGAACAACAAAACAGATGGTTGGTGCAAAGTCACATATGATACAATATGCATTTCATTCCTTTTCAAACTTTACCAACGTAACATAAATGTATGGAGATAAAGGAAACACAATTCCATAGATTCCACATTACCTCAGTATAAACTCATGCAATACATATATACAAAAAGATATAATGGTGGTCAGCTCAATAAATTGATCTAGCTTGTTTTCATCCTTAAGGAACAACATGAAACTTTTAGTTTGAAATTATATCGCAAGTTGAGTTATTACATGCTCTATTATTTCTTGTAGTAATAATAAATACACCTAATCCATTAATTCAAGCACATTCATATATATTGATCATGGAAGTAAATAACTGCAAGAGCATTTAAAGGTAAAAGTTTCCTCACTTGCATTTAATCAAACACTTAAACTACCTTATTAGTGCCAGGAATTAGGCTCTTGAGAGTGGCCAAATGCCCATTAATTCTTTCTCTTCTATGTCTTTCAGCCTCACTGTGGTTTACACGAGTGGAAGAAGAAGAGAAAAGCTGAAATCTTGATCGTTATATTATCATTTTGTCTCCAATATTAAGAACACCAAACATGCCCCAAGTATATCTATATATTGTTGATGGAAGTAAATAACTGCAAGAGTATTTAAACGTAAAAATTTTCTCACTTGCATTCAATAAAACACTTAAAACTACCTTATTAGTGCCAGGAACTCCTGAGAGTGGCCAAATGCACATTAATTCTTTCTCTTCTACGTCTTTCTCTTCTACGCCTCCCTTCCTAAATTCGCACCAAGTCCGTCACCTGGAGACCAGAATAACAACTGAGTGGCTAATAATCCGGATGAACAACTGAAATTGGCACAAATCTGCAACCAAAACCGGATATCCAGTCGAGTGTGAGAAGACCCCAATAGGGTCGGACAAACCCCCAACCTGTCCGGAGAAATCCATACTAAAAAGCTCGAGCAGGACGGCCAGAACGAGGTCCCTTCCCCCCGTTGGAACGCCCTCCACCACAACGACCGCATCGTGCAATTGACCGCTGTAAACCCAACAGCCACAAACAAAACAACCAAAACCTGCCCCAAAACAACACTCCCAAACTGAAAAGCAAGAAAAAAGCAAGATATGCCTTCACGACGCTTCTTCTTTGTGTGGAAAATGAAGGACAAGTGAGAGAGAGAGAGAGAGAGAGAGAGAAATGGCGAGAAGAAAGCGTGAAGAATAGAGGAGTAGGCATGGATGTTGCGTAAAGAAATGGACATTGGGATTTATCTTTTTTTTTTTTTTAACGCCAAAACGACGTCGCCTGACCGGACGAATGTGTGAACAGTTTTTCCAAAACTGTCTCTTTTATTGTATAGGGATAAGAAATCGCCAATTCATAACAAAAACTTGGAAAGTGGGTTGTGCCGAGCCGAGCCGAGCCGAGCAGAGCCGAGTCGAGCCTAGCTCAATCCGAGTTATGTGTAGGGCTCGTTTGATATGGCTTTTGTTTCATGTAGAAGTGTTTTTGAAGAAAGTTACCTTAATTTTTATTTGAAAATTAATTTTGAAAAACATTTCGTATTTCAGAAATGCTTTTAGAAGAAACCACATTGAATTACTTTTTCTAAAAACTCTTCGAAATAACAAAATTATTTTCATAAAATTAATTAAATAGATCCAAAAACTGCTTTTGAATCAAAAGCTCATTTTGACTTTTTAAAAGTCATGCCAAACTGACCCGTAGTTTATGTTGGCTTGTGCAAATCAATAATCCATTAT